TGGTTTAAACTTAATCAATTATCATTAAATTTAGATAAAACTAATTATATGATATTTAGTAGAAAGAAAACAACTGATGTTCCATTTAGAATCGAGGGTAATATCGCATGCGGAGTGCCTCAAGGTTCTGTACTTGGGCCAAAGTTATTCATTTTATATGTGAATGATTTAGTAAATGTGTCAGGGTTGTTCAAATGTGTTTTATTTGCAGATGACACTACATTTCTTTGTTTTGCTAAAAATATAGAACGGATGTTGGTAATGATACAAACAGAATTAGCTAAAATGCAAACCTGGTTTAGACTTAATAAATTATCATTAAATTTAGATAAGACTAATTACATTATATTCAGTAACAGAAAGGAAACTTTATGTTTTGATGGTGTTGAGATCTGTAGAGTCAGTGAGGTGAAGTTTCTGGGTGTAATCATTGACAAGGGACTGACATGGAGACCTCACATAAATCATTTAAGAACAAAAATAGCCACAATAGCGGTATTGTACAAAGTAAAGGACTTATTTAATGATAAAGCACTGTTTATGTTGTATAATGCAATAATTGTTCCACACTTAATTTATTGTGTTGATGTTTGGGGGAAAGCGTGTAAAACAATAACAAATCCTGTTTTTATTTTACAGAAAAGAGCTATAAGAATTATTACCAGAAAACCTTGCAGTCACCCATCAAATTCATTGTTCCATCTGTTGAAGTTATTAAAATTCTATGATTTGGTTGATTATAGTATTTTGTCAGTTATGTATAGGGCCCATAAAAATACATTATCTTCAAACATCCTATTACATTTTGTTAAAAGAGTGAGTTGTTACAATTTGAAGGGGATATAAATGTTTCTCAAACCTTAAATTAGAACCAGTTTGAAGGAACGGAGTACTTCAGTCCAGGGAATTAAATTATGGAATAATCTGGAGGATAACGTTAAAAAAGCCAGATCAATGTGTATATTTAAGAAAAGGATAAAGGTAAATCTGTTGGAGAAATATGTATGAGTATAATGCATGAACTGTTACTCAAGAAGGAATTAAAACTTTATTGTTTTTTTCTTTCATTTTTTGTTTGTTGTAAATTGAAGTTTTTTATTGAATTTATTTAAGAAAAAGGGGCAGAAATCATAAGATTCTTTTCTTCTTCTGCTACCTTTCATTTAATTTGATTTTTTTATATGTTGAATTTGTGTTGTTTTGTTTTAAATGAATAAACTTTATAATAAAATAAAAACTTGGATTACACCTATACTTTGACAGGAGAAACTGAACTTTTTGTTTTGCCTCTTAAGAAGAAACGGAGATGAGAGCAGTGCGGGCAGGCTGAGCCGCAGACTGTCCCGTCTGAGCAGCAGGCATCAGTCCAGGGATCCTCCGAGACCACAGGCTCAGCCCGAGAGGCTCCCCTCTCCACCTGTTCAGCAAGGTGCACTCTCTGAGACTAGTGTTCAAAGTGCATCATCACATCAGAAAAGAAAAACAAAAATCAACAACATTACAGCTTTTCTCTTCTCAAAATTGATCTTTCATCTTTATTTGGTCTTGCAGAAGACAGGCCTTCTCCATCAGTCGTTGTTGTGCCTCCTGCTCCTGCTCCTCTACCTCAACCCATGGAAAAACCACCCAAACGTCCAGACAAGTCACTGAAGCCCAAGCTTCCTCCTAGGCCGCTGTCCAAGCAGTTCAGTAGCAGTGAACATGGAGCAGTCCTACTGCAGGTACAATCTGAGCTCATACTGACTGCTATTTTAAAGGGATCCCCGATTAGTTGTAACACTAAACTTTATTTAATAAACATATATTTTAACTGTAAAATTAAGACTGTAAAATTACTGTAGGATGTTTAGTTTTTATAATTTTTAAACTAAAAGTTTAAAAATATAGTACACGGACGTGGCCATTTTATTTACATGCAAAGCATTCTGGGTAAATGATGACATCAACTAGGTCATCGGTGCGAGGCTACTAGCGAGCTATATCCACCCTGAAGGTTAATCTTAGACAATATCTGATGATCGACTCTTTTAAATGAAACCAGAGAGCGTTGACAGAGAGGAGAAGGTAGAAATGACTCAGCCTGGAACTGAAAATATGGATGGAGGACAACAGTTTAGCTTGTTTGTCGCACTAGCACCGAGCTAATACATATAAGGCAATATAGTGTCAGTGCTAGCACAAAGGCTAACAGGCTAAGCTGAGGTTCTTCTTCCATGAAGCAGCTCTGTTGTCCTCCATCCATATTTTCAGTTCCAGGCTGAGTCATTTCTACCTTCTCCTCTCTGTCAACGCTCTCTGGTTTCATTTAAAAGAGTCGATCATCAGATATTGTCCAAGATTAACCTTCAGGGTGGATTTAGCTCACTAGCAGCCTCGCACCGAGGACCTATCCACGTCATCATTTACCCAGAATGCTTTGCGTGTAAATAAAATGGCTCCATCCGTGTTAAAATATGTTTTTAATAATGCACAAAACTAAACAGCCTACAGTATTTTTACAGTCTTTATTTTACAGTTAAAATGCATGTTTATCAAATAAAGTCTAATGTTTCAACTAATCGGGGATCCCTTTAAAGATTGTTTTATGATGATGCTACAATAAGAAAGGCCATACTTTATGTGTAAAACCCTGCAATCTTTTGTTTTTAATAAAAATACAAAAAACTCCCTTAAACAACAAAAAATTATTAGAGGTTTTTGTTTATTTCTCACCCAAAAACATCCCAACACAACTACTGCAGAGGAAAGAAGGTCCATCTGAACATTCCTCTAACCCTGTTGTTTTATTAGTAAACTGTATCACATGACTCTTCTCATAAATAACATCTTGTCCCCAAAGGGCCTCGATGCTTTCCGTGCAGACGAGACTCTGTGTGACGTGGTCTTGATTCCTGGAGACAGCAAGGAAATGTTCCCGGTTCACAGAGTCATCATGGCGTCATCCAGCGACTACTTCAAGGCCATGTTCACAGGTTGGTTTTTTATTTTTCCTAAAGTTAAAAGCAAACAAATCGGTAAGTTKAGGTCTCAAACAAAATGCTGTTTGTTTTGGTTAAGATGAAGCTAAAAATATGATAGAAATTAGACAGAACGCTCAGAACGAAAACTGTAAATCATCTAATTATTGTGTTTCCGCCTTACTGTTAAATGTCAAAATGTTCTGAAAATAAGTTTTAAGAGATCTTTTGACCAAAAAAATTAACTAAAAATGAAGTTAACTTGTCATATCTGTACAGTTTAGCTAATCATTTCGATAAATTATCAATTTATTATTATTTCATCATCAAAAAATACATAAATAAAAAGCCTAACAAGCCTTTCATGACAGAGATGAAACAAAGATCTTCTTATGTTGGGAAATTATAGAGTTTAAGTTGTTTTCGTCAAACCCAGGAAAAAAATGTTATAAGCAACCTCATTCTCATCTCAAGACCCGTTTAGTGTGATTAATGACTTTTTGCTACAACCCCTGGCAAAAAGTGTGGAATCACCAGTCTTGGATGAGCACTCATTCAGACATTTCATTCTGTAAAACAAACTCAGATCAAAAACATGATAAGGTCATTCCAAAGTGTAACTTGTTGGCTTTCAGGAACACTCAAAGAAATGAAGAGAAAACTTTGTGGAAGTCAGTGAATGTTACTTTTATTGAGCAAGCACAGGAAAAAATATGGAATCACTCAATTCTGAGGAAAAAAAGTATGGAATCATGAAAAACAGATAAACAAAAGACCATTCAAAATGCATCACTAGTATTTAGTTGCACCACCTTTGGCTTTTATAACGGCTTGCAGTCTCTGAGGCATGGACTCGATGAGTGACAAACAGTATTCTTCATCAATTTGGTGCCAACTCTCTTTGATAGTAGTTGCCAGATTAACTTTGCAGGTCGGAGCCTTCTTGTGGACCTTTTTTTTTTTTTTCAATTTCCACTACAGGTTTTCAATTGGGTTGAGATCTGGACTATTTACAGGCCATGACATTGACTGAATGTGTCTTTATCCAAGGAATGCCTTCACTGTTTTTGCCCTATGGCACGATGCATTGCCATCTTGGAAAATCATTTCATCACCTCCAAACATCTGTTCAATTG